GGGCAGCCTGTGCCAGGGCTCCGTCACCCTCAGAGGGAAGAAGTTCTTCCTCATGTTCAGCTGGAACTTCCTCTGCTTCAGTTTGTGCCCATTGCCCCTTGTCCTGTCGCTGGGCACCACTGAAAAGAGTCTGGCCCCATCCTCCTGACACCCACCCTGCAGATATTTATAAGCATTGATAAGGTCCCCTCTCAGCCTTCTCTTCTCCAGGCTGAACAAGCCCAGCTCCCTCAGCCTCTCCTTGTACGAGAGATGCTCCAGTCCCCTCCTCATCCTTGTAGCCCTCCGCTGGACCCTTTCCAGTAGCTCCTCATCTTTCTTGAACTGTGGAGCCCAGCACTGGACACAACACTCCAGGTGGGGCCTAAATGTAATTGTATGTGATGCAACGGCGCTTGCCGTAGCGACGTGGCCTTTTCCCACAGCCCCTGCAGTCAGCACCCTCGGCAAGCCGCAGCCTTTCTCATGCGGATACAGGTCACACTGAACCCCTAACCTTTTCCCTCTATACCTGGCACGCGCTAGCACTGTGTAGTTCTTTAAATTCCTTCTTTAAATTCGTTTAAATTTACTTCCCCAGTGAAAACAGGGTTGCCAAAGGGTCTGGCAGTGACAGAGACCACGCGCTACCAAGAATGATGGTGAGACTCTGGCCATCTTTGTTCCTGTTGTACGTTACCCTCAAACAGCTGAAATCTTTGGGGTTTATACCGCTGATGCCCCAGACTTGGAGGTGCAGCTGACCTTTGGATTGCTGATCTTCACGAGTACGCAGCAGCTGCGTTCTCCTAGAAGCACGGGTTTTGCTTCTAAGTTTGCACGACGGCGTTGCTTCAGGCGCGGCAGCCGTTACACTGACAGCTCGTCTTCCTGAGGAGTTCAAGGAAAAACCTATGGATATTTCCAGTTTCAAGAAAGCCGATAACCTCGCTTGTGCCGTGCTCTCGGTCTTGTCTCTGGTGGGTGCTGACAGGGTGCAGCTCAGCCGGGTTTGTCTGGGGCAGGGGGGCTCAGGGCTTACAGAAGGAACACCCAGCCGGCGCAAGCCTTATTTAATTCCCAGCAGCACAAGATCGGTGTCCTCACATGGGGCGTGGAAGAACGGCAGGCTGTAAAAAGGGTTATTTATCACTTTCTCCAGGCATTCAGCTTCACTTCTGGGATTTCCTTCCCTCCTGCCTTCCCTTGAATGCTTAATTAATTTTAAATTATTACTGTGTACACTGTGCCCGGTGCGAAGGGAGGGGAGGGAAAGGGTCAGGTCAGCCGTTAGCACGAACGGAGTAAATGCCGAGGCAGCGACTTCAAGACACAAATCAAGGGTCTGTGGCCTTTAGAGTGGGGCATCCGTTTATGAAGAGATACAGAGAGAAGACAAGGAAAAAGAAAAATAAAGTACAGTATGCATTTTTTACTGAAATCTCACGAGTCGTTTGGGTGGGGGAGGGAAAAGCGACATCAAGCAACGTCTCGCGCGTCGGGTCTGGGGGGGCAGTGCCGTCGCTGCAGTCGTGGGAAGGGGAAGGGAGCGCTTTTCCAGGGAACTTGGGTACAGCTGACACCGAGCAACTCGGGGGAAAAAAAAAAAAAGACTTCTAGAACCTCAGAAGCTACAGAAAGCAGAATTTTAAATGAGTTACATTTATTCAGTTAAAAAATTGACAGTAATGGTCACATGAACACCAGGGAACTGTATCTACATTTCCTGACGTCGACACGAGCGGCACTAGGGTTTGTCTGGTTGTTTTCTTCGACGCGTACAAAGCTAACGCCGGTTTAAAAAAAAAATACAAAACAAAACCGAAACCCGAGACACTGTGAAATCAACACTGCTTAAAAAACCTCACAACTCAAGCTGATAATATTCCCAAATAAATAATTTTTAACCCTTCTTGTTAAAAAAAAAAAGACAACTCGCCAACTGCTTTCAAAGCAGTAACAACTTTGAGACCGTTCCCCGAAGCGTTTCATAAATAATTACCCACTGATTGTCTGTTAATGCAGCACCTCGCGCTGGCAGCTGGGGTCTCTAGGTTAGGCCGTACGGTATTTTGTTCAGACACAGACAGTGGTTTGTGCCCCCCTCCCCCCCCCCTTCTTTTTACTTAGGTATAATTTCTTTGAATATAGCATATCATGCTGGCAGAATTCATGCAGATGACGTAGCATGAAGCATACCAGAGCTTAAAACTGTCTGGTTTTTTTAAAAAAAATAATAAAAAGACAAGGAATGTAGTGTTAAAAAAAAAAAAAATAATAATCACGATCGTGAAAAAGCAACTATCCAGTCTCAGGGACAACCAGGGCAATCCCAGACGTTCTCCGACAGTTGTCGCACCTACGATGATGTGGTTAAATATGTCTTTTTTTTTTAACCCAAATTCACTTCATTCTCTTCAACTTTTTCCACCAGGGATAAGTAAAAAAATAAAAGGTTAATTATTAAAACTAGTCTCTTTCCCCCCTTTAATCAAAATAACCATTTTCCAGCCCTCCGACTGTACATCTAATCTGAATAGCGATTTCAAACAAACTCCCGAATCCGACAGGCTCGACCAACAGTTTTAGGCATGGCCTAAGGAAGGCCTCAGTGCCCCCCCTCCTTTTAACAGTTTCACTGACTAAAGAAATAAACTGGTTTTCAAATAGTCTTTTCAGTAAAGTGCTTGTTATTACTCAAAAATAAAATTAAAATAAAAAGAGAAAGTGCTATTCGAGTCTTAACAGAATTTCTTTTTTCTGTGAAAAACTGCCTGATATAGCTTTATTTCATTCATTTTCACATAAAGCTGCAGAGAAACCTCTCTCTTGTAAGGACAGTGGGCTGCTAGGTTTGGTGTTTGGCAGCAGGCACGGTGCCCGCAGAAGGTGGGGACACGCCGGGACCGCAGTGCAGAAGGCAAACCTTCTCCGTGACGTGGAAGGCATACGGAGAGCTCCTACTAGAATCCTTTCGTATCTATATACAAATATAATATATATTAAATATAATATAAAAATAGCTATCTTTTTCTCTGAAGTTATCCTAGAAGCTTTTCCTCAACTCCTCGCCCGCCGCAGGCAAGAACTCCACACGCAGCTACGCTCCTCCTCCGCCGGCGCGACC